AAGGTAAATCGTCTTAGCGTGCTCATCTAACTGTGTTTGCTAATTGACCCCACTTCCAATAGCTCTAGTGTTTTCTTTATCCTCCCTTATCCAATATTACTACATTGTTCCAATCGAACATATGTCCCTTAATTGTCCGTGTGTATTGATATAAAGCGGAAGACAATGTCGTGGCGTTGTGACTGCTAACTGATTTCAAGCAAAACGAAGCTGAAGAGGGACATCCACTTTGTCCTATGTTGTGTTGTTTTTTCACTTGATTGCTGCAGTGGCATATTGTTTTTTGTGTTAGTGATGTATATTCGTTGCTTTTTTCTCGTCTCCTTAGTTCATCGTTTTTACTTGGGTCTACTAGAATTGATTGAAATTAGACCTTGTCTTGTGGTGTGTTTGTTCTACATCCATTCCAAATGGTCTAGTAGTCGTGCTTGATGAGGTTGTTCGAAGAACAATGAAAGTCTCCACATCCAAATACATCCGCTCAGAGGAATGAAACACCACCACAATCATACCAATTGAGATACAAAATTTTCTCCACTCAGGAATTTTTAAGTTGGGAAAACTATAAAAAGGTGAGAATTAGTCAGATTAAACTATTCTATAATTATGAAAGGACTTATTCGATCCTGATGGTTGGTGAAAAAGAAGAAAACAGGGTGTTTTTGTAATGGATTGTTGCTGTTATGCAAGTATCACATCTATCAGTTCATGGTCTAACTGTTTATATTTGAAAACAAGAACCACTGTAATTTCATCGACTCAAAGTAAGAACACGGAAGACTGGTGCGCTGAAGATTTATTGATTCACCAGAAAAATCATAAAATTAAGTCCCACTAACAAATACTTGCGGTGCTGTGGTGCGAGCTACTTATAAGTAGTATATGACGTGAGCGTAAACGTAATGTCTGGCAGCATAATATGGGGGAAGATCAAGAAAGGAAGAGTTAGAAAACAATGGAATTTGTATGAAACGCATGAATAGTGACAATGGATTGATGTTTTGCAACAGGAACAGTCCAGTTCGATATGATGAACTGTTATTTTGCAAATGAACGATTGAAGAGATGGTTTTCCCAATTTTACTGAGTAACTCTGTAATTTCCGTTAAATACAATTCGCCTGCCCCACCTGTGTTCTCGTTCACTACATGCGCACTAGACTGATGTACAAAATCACATATAAAGGAAAATATATAGCATTACTGTAAGTCTACACCCACACTGAATATAGTGACTTGAAGTGATACAGACAACATAATTGTCACAAAACATGAAAGTTAGGATCTGTTACTCTAACCAAAATATAGTAGCCTAAATAAGCTCGTCACAACAAACGAGTTGATCATATTTCTTTGGTACACATAACTTGGATAGTTCAATACACTCATCTGTTTACTTCAGCCATTTGTAGAACTTTTGAGAAAGAATTACTTAACTGATAAGGTACTGGGAATGATCGACTGACTGAGTCACTATGATAAGTTTCTAAAAGATGTGTTTTACCAGAACGATGGAGGAAGACATGATTATTACGAGAACTCATATATTGTTATTATTATTATTATTATAACAATGGGAAGCGTAGCTGATCTGAAAAACTTTGTGTATTCAAGTTAGAGATTTCAAAACGATCTGGTCATACACATATTTACTTGTCAAAGCATTTTATCGGAAAATTAATAAAAAGGTCAATTAAGTACAAGTTCAATAAACATTAGGTGATAATTGTAAATAAAAGAGATAGAGAGAAATTCGACGTAATATATACAAAGAATAACAAATTATCACATTATTCTAGGCCATAAAATGACTTAAAGATTACCAAGACAAATTCAAGGTTACAACAACCTGTTTCTGTACACTTATATCTGTATGTTATAATCATTAAGATACTAGATTACTGTGTACATCAATTCCATCCATCATAAAACTTCGGTTAACTCGTTAAATATTATTAAACGATTCACTATTGCCAATCTATTGTCTATTCATTACAGTCTCCCCAATTCAGAACCACCTATTTTTCATGTTCATATAAAAGTCGGTATTTTTGATTTTGTGATGTGATGTGATATAGTGTGATTGTATGTAAACTACGTCTGCTTAAACCATGAATATAGTATGAGAGACTGGTTGTTGACTAGTGGACAGAAGTGGATTGTATGCAGAGAGAACCTGGAAAGTCGTGAATCACTAGGACCCCAGCTACTGACAGACGGTTAGTTGTGGTTGACAGACATGTAATTAGAACAACACATAAGTTGAACAATAGTATTGTTTTTCGATTAGATCATCATCAGGCTTTTTACTCTAATACACATGAATATTTATAAATGAAAATGTTAAACCAATCAAGGCAGGCAATTTATGAGTCACTAATCACAATGCAATGAAATAGATTACGTCACTATACATAATACACAAAAGTACAAGTTGTGATAGTAGGAAGACATGTGAGTACTGATGATAGTAGTAAGAAAATTATAAAATACCGTAACAAAAGTTTTATCAATACGTAAATTGATCAAATCAGAGATATTTAGCTATAGAGTGAATAATGGACGCAAAATGGAAAGAACTATAATCAGGTGTATGATTTAAGACTTGTCACATGATATTGGTGAGCAATCATAAGATTTGACAATAACACTGTTTAACGTCTTAACTTCACTTACACAAAGTCCCACAGGAAGATGTTCATACTATATAAACATGTCAATTGTACTTTTTTCAAAAAAATTATTCCTATTTTTTTGATATGAATCAATCTCCAAAAATATTACTTCTTTCTTATGTTTTCACGTCAATTTCCGATATTTAGGGTGTGTTTTTTTTTACTTCTAAATGGAGTAATTTCAAAATCATTTTACCAAAACCCATTGACTAATCACATTTACTTGAATGATTAATATTTGACAAAATCAATCATTTAATTAAAATTAGAATAAATAAATAAATAATTAATTAATTAAAGCAGTTTATTTATTTTTAAAAAATAAACACCATATAAATCAATGTGTTAGGAAATGCAAACACAATTGAATGATAAAAGTTAATTTTTGATTATTATTGTCATTATTATTAATTGTGTTCAACTCAAGAAAATAATAATGTATATCTATTTTTAAAAGAATTATGAATTTACTTTGTAGTGGAATGTTTTTTACGAAGAGAACGCAAGTGGGTGAAATAGAAACACTTATTATCATACATAATTGTAACATTGACTGTTTTATTGTATTCCTTTTAGTTTAACTGTACTAAAAACCCTTACTTATGCGCTTAGCGTGTTGTTAATGTTGCTCTATTGCCTTGGTGGTTTTTACCTGTGATGGTTTAACTTTTTCGATATCATGAGATCATCAACCAATGCATCTCGTCCTCCAATCACAGTTGGACATTTAATTTCTGGCCTTACGGGATTGAACTTAATTATCTCACGATAATAGTCTCAATTCGCTACAACTTCATTTCAAAAACACTAGCAAAGTTTAGATTAATGATGATTCATAAAAAGAAACGAAAATAAAACAAAGATTTTTGTTAAACTGTTCGATTCCATTTTCAGATGATGATGATGTTAATATTTCTATTTTATTATAGTTTCTATTTCTTCTGCCTTTTACTAAGTGCCTATATTTCTTTCTGAACTGCATTTATATTGTTTAAGCGGATACTTGTCATGGGCAACAGCTATTGTGATTTGTTCCTCTTGTGATTGTGTTGCTTGCATTGACTGGAATTGTGGCATTTTGATTGTGATTGAAGCACATCTTTCAGAATAGGAAACACCCTGTGTTATAAAGCAACCAAATATTTTATCTTTCGAACGAATCCGATCTATCCACAGAGGACAGAATAACATTTATTTGTTGCTGTCGATTTGATTAATTGAACAATTGTTGGTGGAACGACTGAGTGGTAATATTTATTTAGAAAATGATGTACAATTATACTTATGATGAATATTGAAACCGTCATTTACCCAAATCACTTGTTTCGGTTCCTAAACTACCTGGACAGTTATTCCTCAGTCCAAACCTCAGTTTGGATCCTACAACATTGTTGATATTTTTAC